ACAGATATGTAGATTAAATAATTGGATTACATAGATAATAATTTAATATTTTAGCTAGCATGTTTCTTATTTATTTATAATTCCCACTATCAAGTGCTAAAGTTGTAACATAGTTAAAAACATTTTTGTGTGTGATTATAATGAATGTGAGGAACTAAGTTGAGTTAAATTAAACAAACAATAAATTGATAGAATATAACAATAAAATGAACTTGGCAATTATTGGAAAACTAAAACTAGATCCTAAGAACATGGTTGAGTATGAGTAGAGTGCCATTTACAAGAATTTCAGAATTAGAAGCAAGGTATTTGTACAATGTTTAACTGGTAATGTAGTAACTGTTGGGGAACTCATTGATAACTATTGTAGTGAATATCGGACGAAGTGTTCAATGGATTCAATGGTATCTAAACTTTGGTGATACTGTATGTGAGGAAGTGATGGTTACATTGAAAACAATGACATCTCTGGAGGAATGGTGTCATAAGAGAGCTATTGATGTCACTAATGGTAAACAAATGTGTGTAACATTGGGATTGAATACAGTGTAAAACCAGTGGATGTGTGTTGTGTGGAGTGAACGGCACTATTGAATAGACAGTCAATTGAATTGATTTGTGAATATTAATGGACTATTAATTTGTGTGTAATTATAGCGAGTATTGCATTGTATTGACAAACAGTGACACAATCGACGCAAACAAACATCACTTCATATGAATTGACATCACTTTCAATGCATTAGTCGTACAGTGAATGCAGTGTTTCATGAACTGTATATTCATTATCACTTGAATTGATGTGAAATTGCGATTACATTGGATTCATAGCACAGACAACAGACACCGCTTTCGTAACACATATCTCACCCAATCGTCCCAATCGTAACCCAATTGACCACAAAATGGATCTGAAATGGGAGTTGAAAGAGATGTTTGACTCGTTGGTGTCGGCGCCCAAATACCACTTGGCTCTCGAGGGGTGTCTTGTAATGTGTGTCCTGTGGTTGATATTTCACAAGAGCTATAGACCCGAGGCATCCAAACTCACCGAAAAGGTCCGTCTCTTAAGCGGCTCTTCATTTGGTTTTAATTGTTAATCATTTGTTTGTTATGTCTTCAGGAGAAGGAAGAGCTGATCAACGAGTGGACACCCGAGCCATTAGTGCCGGACACGCCTGCAGACCATTACGCACTCAATCCCAGAATAGTGACCTCAAAGTTAGGCAAACGTATTGTCATCGATGGTACCGATTGTCTCAATCTATCGACTCATAACTACTTGGGATTTGTTGAGAACGACAAGTGCATTGAGTCGGCCATCAAAGGTCTTCGCAAATACGGTGTCGGCTCCTGTGGTCCGCGAGGCTTCTACGGCACAGTCGGTCTGTTGTGTCCACCAATTGGTAGTGAAATATGTGTTAATTTATATTTGCATTTCAATCAGACATTCATCTGGAGTTGGAGTCGAGATTAGCGCAGTTTATGGGTGTGGAGGAAGCCGTGCTCTACTCATACGGATTCTCTGCCATTTCCAGTGCTATTCCCGCCTATTCTAAAGTGGGAGACGTTATCTTCGTGTATGTCTTGTGCCACTCATTGGATTCATTAACTTATTTATATGTCATTTGAATGCATTAGTGACGAGGGCGTCAACTTTGCGATCCAACAGGGATTAATTGCCTCCAGAAGTAAAATAAAGTTTTTTAAGCACAACGACGTCGAGGACCTGCACCGTCTCCTCTTAGAACAGGCAGATCTCGACCGCAAAGTAAATATTTGCTCACAAAATGTGTTTGTTTTTTGTCATTAAAAGTATTGATAATCTACAGAATCCGAAGAAAGCCAAAGTGACCCGACGTTTCCTTGTAGTCGAAGGCCTTTATATCAATTATGGAGATATCTGTCCACTGCCTCAACTCGTAAGACACACAGCAGTAAACCAGAAGAATATTCTTAAAATTCTTATTAATGTATGAATAGTTGGAACTGAAAAAGAAATATAAGGTCCGAATGTTTATCGACGACACCTGTGCTCTGGGAGTATTGGGCGCTAATGGACGCGGAGTTGTCGAGCATTTCGGCGTTTCAGTCAATGACATCGATATGATTTGTGCCACTTTGGAGAACGCAATGGCAGCCTATGGAGGCTTTTGCTGCGGAACCAGTTTTATTGTAGACCATCAACGCCTCTCAGGACTCGGCTATTGTTTCTCCGCATCATTGCCTCCATTACAGGCGGCCGTCGCTCTCACTTCACTCGAAACCATCGAAAAGGATAACTCGGTTATTGAAACATTGCGCCAAAATTGTCAAACTATGCACTCATTCCTCGAAAAGTTAGAAAACATTTAATACTTGAATGTAATTCAATACTGAATGCCTATATTTGCTCATTAAATAGCATTCCGTCTGTGAAAGTGTTTGGCGAACCCATATCACCCGTAAAGCACTTGAGATTCTCTAATAGTACTAATGATTACAAACACGAGACCAAGAAATTAGAGGCAGTTGTCGATTACGTGAGTATTTTTTAAATGTTTGCGTTTAAGACATAATTACCAATGAATTAATGATCGATAGGCTCAAGAGAGAGGATACGCGCTGACAGTCGCCCGCTATCTGGAAGAGAGCGAACACTTACTTCCGGAGCCGAGTATTCGGCTCATTGTGAACGCCCTCCTCAGCGATGAAGAGATGAGACAATCCGCTCAACTCATCACTCAATCATTTGAATCTGTTTTAAGTTTATATTAATTTTTTTATTCATTTTTCGATGCAATCAATTCATAGAATCGGTGTTTGAATAACTTTACAAAAATAAGTCATATTTATTGTACCAATAAAAATAATTTAAAATAATTAAACCACACAAAAAAGTTTGGATTACAAAATTCTAATGAATAAACAAGTTTTTAAAAATTAATATGAAATACGAGTAAAATAAATGCAAAGATTTGTTTGTTTTATAAAAAAAATAGTTTTTTGGGTAATATTTTCATGATTTAATGATTATATTAAAGATATTGTCAATTGTCTATAAAAACAATTAAAATAATGAAGTTTTGGATATAATGTACACATAAAATAAATTTTCAAGAGATGGTAAGCAAATTGTGGTCCAATTTAGAGCTGTTGCCAATAAGTGGTCTCAAATTGTTCGTCGTTTTCATTGCCATCGATACTAACTTCAGATCCGACGTCAATGGGAGCGGCACTTCCCGCCAATTCCATGAGCGCCAGAGCGCCCATAATCTTTTCGCGGTGTTCACTCACGTCGTTCTCGTGGTCATCGGCCTCGGCGTCCAACTCGTGGCGCAACTTTCTGGCGGCGCGACCCACGTGTGAGATCACTGACCGCCTCTTCTCACTGCGCGACTTCTTCTCCAACTTCTTCGTGTTGTTATTGTCTGTATTTACGATGTTTTTGTTTACTTTCAATATTTTGGTCACAACTTTCGTGTCGGATGTGTTGTTCTCATCATCTCTTTGAACAATACGTCGGACGCCATATCGGGAGTGAAGACTACAGCGCCGGTTGGCGTGAGTGAACCGATTGGAACAGTTAGGGAACGCACACTCGAAGGGCTTTTCGCCAGTGTGTAGGCGCTGGTGAGTCCGCAACTGACCTAAACATGGATGTAATCAACTGTCAAACACTGGATCACCACCTCATGAATGGTTGGGCGCTTACCTGACTGAGCGAAGGCTCGTCCGCAGCCCTCGATATCGCACCGATAGGGCCGCTCACCGGTATGTGTCCTGAGGTGCGCCTGAAGGCTCTTCTCGCGGGGAAAGACACGGTTACAGACCTCACACTTGATGGCCGACGGAGAGGTGGAGCCCGAGAGGATGAGTCCTGTGATCTCCTCGAGTCGGGGTCGACCTCTTTTGGCCGAACTCGAGTTGGGGTCGAAAGGGCTGTCGTGTTGGGCCCGGTATTGGTTGGGCAGAGGACTGAGTTGGATGGACTGCGCCGAGTCTGACCACAGCCAGGGGTAGTATAGGCTGTTGTCGGCGCCCATCGGCTCGGACACCGACTCTGCCGGCGCTTTGGCCACCAGTTGTGCGCTTTTGGACGAATTGGGGGTCGAGAAGACAATCACTCCTTTCTGAGACATTCTCCACACTATTATCTAATACTTGAATCACTCGTCAACTGATAATTGAAATTTAAAACTCAATTAAAAGTTTAAACCAATTTAAACGTCAAGTGTTTTAAATGCAGAGTTGAGTACACAATGAAAACAAATGCCAAATAAAGCGCTAAAACTTTTTCCCACTCATAGCCAATGCATAGCCAATGCATAGCCTATGCATAGACCCTATGCTGAGGCTCTCATAGGGGACTAACCGCCGGCGCCAACACTTTGACTTTACCGCCAATACACTGCATCCCTATTGCACTGCTTGGGGACCCAACTGTACGTCAATCACGTCACCAATCAATGCCTTTTAAATGCGATTCAATTTCAATGCATTTAAATGTTTGTTCAAATCAACAAACACTACACCAAACACTTGATTACACTCACAGACAGTGGCAGACATCCACTCATATGTCACTCCTATTACACATTTGTCTCAATTTTGTAATTCAAAACTTTTCTCTAATATTCCGCTATATATTTCATGTCTAAACTTTAGACGTAAACTTTGAGACCATAACTGTAAGCATGCATTGCGTGTGTATTTCAGGTGTTTTAATTCAAACATGTTTTTGTAATTTTATTATACCTTTAATTAAATAGATATAAGTTTTAAATGCTTTCGATATCAGACTATTCAATAGCATTATCTATTGAATACAAATAATATGAATGAAAAGCTAATGAATACGTGAATGAATGTGTTCGTGTGTTTGATGTCGTAATTTGTGTCATTTAAATGATCGCAGTTTCCAATGCTTGCTGTGACCGCCATTTAATTGTATTGTTTTGCCATACATTGAGTGTATGTATGAGTGTATTGAGGGAACAGTGAGTGAATCGTACGGCAAAAGTGTATTAATAGAGTTGTGGCGCAAACGCATGCATTGGCTGTGAATGCAATCTCTGAAGGTCTCTATGAATGTACGGATAGACTAGCGTTGAGTGAAAGCAAAGCATCGACTCATAGACTCATTCGTAGGAAACCATTGAATCCATTAACCACTGAAACAACAGTTTATGTCCGAAAGCAATGCAGACGAGCATCCATTAGCACATCCATTGATCTCATTATCACTCACTTGATCCGAGTGTCCACGACGTCGAGTAGAGTACATCAGTGACCATAAGGTGGTGAGTGTTGGCATTGCAGCGACAATGGAGTCTTCGTATGGCATTGGAGTGAAGAACAGATACGCCGTCTTCATAGGCGACGAAGAAGAGGATCCCTTAGAGATCGTCAGCAAGAGTGAGGAGAAGGTGAAGACGTCGGCCCACACGGCCGACAAGTCGACCGCACGGGCCGTGAAGGCGCTCAACGACTCCCGGCTGTCCAATGCTAACCATCAGAACATCATTAAAGACAACAAGAGTCCAAAGGATCCACTCATTAGTATGTCTTCACTCTCCCACCCATTCAATGCTTTATTCACTGATTGTCTTCACTTGTCTTATGAACGCAGAGTCGAAGACAACCGAAGGTCCGCCGTCTTTGTCCAAAAGTAAAGACATCACTAAAGGTCTGAATTGAGTCCCGATTTTATCGATTTTATCATTTGTTGACATAATTATGATTATTATAGCATTTTATTACAAATTGATAGGCTTTTTAAAAACTTTGAGCTTTAAATACAGACTAAATATTGTGATTAGATTCTCGATACGAAAAATGTCTCTCAAAAAGACAATGCCATTGAATGCCTATAACTGTTGTGTTTCTATAGATATATCCTATAAACGGATCGATTGATTCAATTATTGAAAGACAAATATTTCTCATTTTTACGTCTTTTTGTTGCGATAATTAACACATTAATGACTAATCGATAGGTTATTAGCGAATAATTTGGTTGTAGATTTAGTTAGCGTTAAATGCAATTGAATCGTGAGTGCAATGGAAAGCGATGTAAAAGCATGTGTTTGTCTGAAAGCATTGGAGCCAAAGATAACCCACTTTTGAAAATGCTTTCGCTTTTAAGGCAACGCTTTTAATGCAAATTGTTTTCCGCGACAAAAGGCGATCCCAACCGAATCAACCGACAAAAGTCAGACCGGACTCCTCGGCCACCCCGCGATGGCAACCAATTGGGCGATAAACCCAATTACATCAGTGACCGCCAGAACCGACCTCCGCGTCAGTTCAATGACCAGAAGAACATCGACGACCTGAAGAACCAACGCAACCGAGACGACCACTTTGGCGGACCCAATGAGCCCAGGTATGTCACACCTCTACCTCTGTCAACATTGCCCGCCCGTAGTGTCCGTCAATTAAGCCGACAGTCATACCTATCAATGGTATTGATTGTGTGCATACGACGGATAGACAACAACTGTTGGACTCTTTCCGAGATATTATTGCATCGATTGATATCTTTTGATAATAATAGACACAAATGTATGTATTTATAGGCGAGAGCGCAGTGACAGTGACCGGAGAGGCGGCCGACCGGGCGGTCGGAACAACGGGTCCCGTCGGGGGGGCGGAAGCTTTGGCGGTCAAGACCAAAGGCGAGGCAAACGTGATCTCGACAGACACTCAGGCAGTGATAAGTCCGGGGTTAAGGCGATGGACAAGAGGGACGGCGGCGGCGCTCATAATTGGGGTAAAGTGAATGACTACTCCAATGAGGAGACTCTGACGGCCGACAATCAAGACATGACTGACAAGAGCGCCGACGAGACGGCTCTTGACATAAACGACTCGAATCATGAAATCGATGCGAACGCCACCGAAGACGCGACGCCTAAAGAGGAGGCGCCCAAAGAGATGACTCTCGAAGAGTATAAACAACAACTCGAGGAGCAGAGAGTGCAACCGAAGTTCAATCTGCGAAAGCCTGGAGAGGGAGAGGACAACTCGCAGTGGAAGAAGACATTCCTTCTGAAGAAGAAGGTCGAGGACGAGGAGGAAGTGGAGTACGAGGAGATCGAAGTGGTAAGTGATACGAGTGTTTGTTATTGTAGTGATTATACAAACGTACGATTGATTGGTGTCCAGGAGGAGGACCCGCGAAAAGGTCGACACAAACAGGTTCTGGACATTGAGATAAACTTCCGAGACGAAGGACGCGATTTCCCCCGACGTGGAGACGGCAGACGTGGCGGTCGAGACCGGAGAGGCGATGACAGGGACAGGCCTGACAGAGGTGATAGGCCCGAGAGAGGTGGCGATCGTCCCGACAGAGATCGCGGCGATAGGGGTGAGCGTCGAGGAGGAGGTGGCGGCGGTGGTGGTGAGAGAGGCGAGAGGGGTGGCGGCCGCGGTGGTGGTCGAGGCAGTGACCGACCCTTTGGCGACCGCCCGCGTGGTATCCGTCGTCCGCGTGACCCGAAAGAGCAAACGGCCCCCAAAGTCGACGACTGGAATGACTTTCCCTCGTTGTCAACGGCATAAGTGTCTGCACTCTTACCTACATTTTTTGACATCAATTATAACATTAATTATAAGATATTAAGCAAATAATAGACAACCAAACGATTAAAACACATGAAAATGACTTAAATTTTGATCAGATATTCTAATTGCAGTTTTCGTCGATTGATCCAAAATATTATTTTACGCTATATTTGTAGGAAAATGATATATAAATACAATATATATATTGATATAATATTGATATTTAACTTAAGAGCCAAACAAATATGAGTTATGTTTTTGATTGATATATTGTTAAACACAACCAATGTTAAGATAACGAGTCATTACCTGAAGAGTAATTCATTGAAACAATCGATTCTTTTGATGTATTTTTTTGCATATTATATAAATGAAAATAATGTCCGATTAATGACGAAAAATCGTTTTTCTTTATTTCAAAATAAATGAATTTTTGATTGAAATCTATGTCTTAATTAATGGTTTAACTCTTATTCCTGTGAAACACATTCTTCGCCTTTCCTTTCGCCTCTTCCGGTGCGATCGTATTGAACACATCGTCGTACTGATCGACGTCACCATAAGCCGTTCCCTTCGGTTCTCTCAACTCTTTGTTCTTCTTGGAGGAGATCCGGTCTTTGTATTTGTCGGACACATCATTCCTCAGCTCTCGTCGGTGTCGATTAGGGGACACGTAATGGGGATTACTGTAGAGGACACGACCCCCGAAACTCGAGTCGAATATTTTGATGGGATTTAAGACGAAACGCGGGCCGATCTCTGCCAGAGACCCGTCTTCCTCCACGATCTGATAGTTTCGGAACCATATCTTGTTCTCCAGAATATTGAATGTCAAGACGTGGTCATAGAAGGGCTGACTCTTCGGGTGATGGTTTGGAACTCCAAATATCTGATACATATTGAGAACATATAACGAATTGAGGGTAAGGTTTGTGGCGAGACATCAGTAGATAAATACCTGCACTAAGAGCTCCTTCAGAAGCGAATAGTGGATGAGTTTGTCAAACATGGGATCAAATGACAGGAGAGGTCGCGAGCCTTTGAGACAATTGCCAGTCATTCGCATTTCTTGCATCGTATGGACTGATCATTAAAGACAAACAAATCAATGGTTGAGTGACTGTGGGATGAAATGGACACGAAATACATACGGTTTTCCACCAAAAACTTAACGGACGGTCCGTTTGGCACATTTGATAACCACATGTAGAGGTCTTTTCGTTTGCGGTTCTCCAAGAATATGCATTTATTACAGTTCTTCACTTCGCAGATCTCGTTCACCACAAGAGTCGAGTCCTTCGACTCCATCTTCGGCTCTGAAATCATATCAATATATCATTTGATTAAAAGTTTTGCGGCAAAAGTTTGTCAGTTTGTGTGACGAGACCTGATTTGCAGTGCGGCAGCAATTGCTTCAAGTTATTCATGAAATGTCTTTCCCTATAAGTGATGCCACGGGTGGCCAACACAAGCACTCGTTGTTTGTTAATCCATTTGGTCTGACAATTAAATCATATGTCAATCAATGGTGTCAACCAATCCCGAAAACACTCACTTTCTTGGCAATGGGTTCATCTGAATAGCGGACCGCATCCAAGACCACCACATTTGACTCGTCGGCATCCTTTGGTGTCTGTCCACCAACTGATCCTTTCGATGGTCTCTTCCTTTTGGCCATTTCGTAGACTATTAATTGGATTCACTGGTGATAGCAATGAGTTCACCAAACATTTAAATGCCTCTCAAAACCAAAATACTGACAACACGTGCTTTATATGCGTTAAGTGTTGACTGCATTCACTGAACAGATGGCAGTGTTTGTGAAACTCTGAAACGGATTAGTGTTTTGAATGAATGCTTCAAACTTTGAATTGATTTGCATTTCAATTGTTATTGAAATGATTATCACTTTATAACCGATTGATTGGTCACCAAACGGATTCACTCGTAGAGAGCATCAGTCCATTGAAATGGTCACTCATTGGCACAATTGACGTCTATTTCTGTGAATACAGAGTAAGTGTTGACATCGTATGTCAATATCTGTGTCTAAAACTCATTATCATTAAAGTTATTATATCTCAAGAATCCTTGACATCACTCAACCGATTCCGTGGACTCACAGTCGCTCTCATATCGAAAGGCCAACACAAGACTCGGTCGGCAAAGCTCTGCCAATCCATCCGACTGTGAATGTCGTGAGGGATGGCCTCCAAACACACAACCATGACATCCAAGTATGCAATCATTTAGTCATCCAATAGTCCACTCAATCACTTCACTATTCAATGCGTTTTCTGTATAATACAAAATAACAGATATTAATAACTAATCATTTGAACTCTCTCTCTCTCTCACTCTCTCTCTCTCTCTCTCTCACTCTCTCTCTCACTCTCTCTCACTCACTCACTCACTCACGTATACTGGCACACAGAACGTGACAGTTATTAAAATCCAAACTTTACTATTAAATGATTACTAAAAGTAAAACTTTCTCTAAAATACAACTGAATATTAACTTTAGGTTAGACTGACATACAGTTTGGTATAAATTGAAGAGTGATTAGTGTTTGCCATTTGTATGATATATGAGCACAAGTATGCTATATATGATGAGTGCACTTATTATTTAGAGATCATTGTTGTATTTGGTGTTCAAATGATTAGTTATTAATATCTGTTATTTTGTATTATACAGAAAACGCATTGAATATCCGCTGTATAGGGAAGCGCTTGCAAGAAGTCACCGCCGAAGTGATCTGTATTTAAAGCAATTCAACCCAATGAATACCATTCGAGGGGTCACCAAGACTGTCATTCAGTCCATCGATGCTCTGGTTAACACAGAGGACGACCCGTAAGTGTTTCTCACTCACACACTCACTCACATACTCACCCACTCTATTGATGACCCGATAGTCCGTTAGCAGTATTGAGGCAGAACTTAGTGGACGCCATAGAGGAGGACATAGCCATCAGTGAGGACTCCTATCCGCTGGCAATTGTTCTCCAATTTCGTCGGGTTTTTGCAGAGAGCGTGAAATCATTGGAACTACTATTAGGTGATACGAAAGCCACTCAGGGAGAGGGTGTCCACCCTATGGTCAGTGATTTGCTGTCAATAGTGACCAAATTCATGCGCGAGGGCTCCACTAAAATCAAATTCACTCCGATGTCGTCTCCTAGTAGTGGTGAGCCGTAGGCATCGGTAGCCAATGTCTCTTAAGTGATCGTAAAATGGTTTTTCTTTATTTCAAATGATTTGTATAATTGTTGACTCAATTCAAGTTAACTTTACACGTATTTAAAACTTTGTAAAACTTACAAATATATGAATATATGTACAGAACATACGAAATACTTTGATATCAATTAAATTGTTTTAAGATTCATTGAAAACATAGTAAATAACAGAATTCAAGACAAATTTGGTTGAATTATCGCAGATATAGTTGTAGTCATCGGAGTTGAGGTCGAAAGTCATGGAACCGGCGAATCCGTTGTCACGAATCCATTGAGCCTTTAGGGCGACACTTGTCTTGTCGTCATATGTGACCCAATGGTCTCCATTCACAAGATATGGTACTTTCGACTCGTCATCGAAAGAGCTCTGAGTCGATGAGTTGCGCAATAGTTGACAGATCTGTGGGTAACTCATGTCGTCGAGCTGTGCGATGGCAGCCGAGTCGGGACCCGTGTGTTGCCTATCGGCCAACTGGAATGAGTGGCCATAAGTAGGAATCCCAACCATAATCTTGTCTCTACTCATGCCTAATGTGAGCCAATGATTGACCGATCGATTGGTGTTCAAGAAAGTGAAGTAAGTTTTCTCGACTTTGCGGCCAAAAAGCGGTGAATTATAACCAGTGAATGGCCAGACACTAGTGAATTGGTGGAAGTCATACGACATTATATTAACAAAGTCTAATTGGTGTTCAAGAAAGTGAAGTAAGTTTTCTCGACTTTGCGGCCAAAAAGCGGTGAATTATAACCAGTGAATGGCCAGACACTAGTGAATTGGTGGAAGTCATACGACATTATATTAACAAAGTCTAGATATTTGGCCATTTCTGGCATATCATAGGCTGCGTCCACGATATTGATTATGGCTGAGACGGCACAACTCAGCAGTAGTTGCCGTCTATTGTCGATACGATTCTCTTGTCTCGAGAATTGCGAACTCAATGTCTAACCAAATGACAAATTATTAGATCCAAAAATTATATCAACTATTCCATGGAAATGATTACTTTTAATAACTGATTGAATGTATATTTGTCCTCAGGATAGGGTGTATTCCAAGCGGGAAACTCCCAGTCTATCGGTTAAAACGGTTATATTAAATGATATCCTGGTAATTGTTGACCATTTAATTCATACCTATGTCCAAACCGTCCAAATTATATTTCAAGAGTAGATCCAAAACCGATGAAACAAATCTGAGAACAATTGGGTATTAAATAAAAGTCACAAAAATCA